AAACCTTCACCTCTTCACACGTTGAGCCATCGCGCTTTTGCGCCCACAATACATTGCGGCCAAGAGTTCGCCGACGGCGCCCCTGCGTCTCGACCAATCATCGCGGTCGCCGTGCAGCGCACGCCGTGATTGCACTGCTTCGCGATGACGCTGCCGCAGGAACAACGCGCTGCAGCGCCGCCTCCGTCCACCGTCTCCCAAGCGGCCCATGGGCGGGTCGCGGGCCACCACGCGGTTGTTCTCAGCCCCCAGTGAGAAGGAGGAGGAGGAAGCGAGTTTCAGCCGCGCAAATTTCTCTTCCTCTCGTGTACAGGACACTCGATTCGTGATATTTTTTTTGTTTGTCATTCCGTGCATTTAACCGTGCAAGTTATATTTGACACTAGAACGTATTGCTACGGCAGTTTGCACGCAAAATACGGGCTTTTCATACTCTTTCGTTCTATTTGGTAAAGTCATGTAGGTAAAAAATAAAATAACAAAAATCACGACGTTTCGGCCACAACACAAGCGGCCTTCATCAGGTGAAGGGACGAGACTGTCTGGAGGACAGCGCTGGAGTGAAAAAAAGCCACGCTCAGATCACGACCTTTAAGCTGTGTGAGAAGAAACAAAGCGCCTTGACAAAGGAATTAGCATATAATTTAGCATTGAAATGGCTCATTGAAAAAGCTAAGTTAAAGTATACACATCCGCAGAGGCACCCCTTGACAAAGGAATTAGCATAGAATTTAGCATTGAAATAGCTGAGTGATTAGCTTGTAACTGGTCACAGAAATAGCTATGTTAAAGTCAGAGCATATACATTCACCGAGGCACCTAGTACAAATCAAACAGGAGAATTTAGCGAAACACAACCACGCTCAGACCGCGGACGTTTAAACTGTGTGCGAGCAAACAAGGTGTCCTGACAAAGAAATTAGCATAAAAATTAGCATTTGATTGGCCGATTTTAGAAAAGAGGTGGTGTACGTGCCGGTGGACTTGCCGTTTGGCGCGGGGGGGGGGGGAGTTTACCTATTGATGGTGTGAAAAGGGAATTTATAAGAGCTGCAAAAGTTTGGGGTACCACTACTTGATCCTAGCAGTCACGAAAGCTTTCAATCTACTGGCTTTTCAATGCTTGGGTTGACGTATTGGGTAACGTGCAGCAAAAGGAGGGATTGGTATCGTTTTATGAACCGTGACCCAAAGTCGACTTTTCCCCAACGTGCCTCTGAGTTTTGCGGATCGCGGATTTGCACAAATTGCGGGCACTTTCAAGAGCGCTATGGGCAAGGTTTTGTCGTATTTCATTTCAAATGGCTCTCAGCCACTTCGTAATAAAGCTGGGTGAGCTGCACTCAATTTGCACGTGCTGCTGTTTGCACTCAGCATAATTGAAGGGCAACGTTGATCAGCTATTGCGTAATGCTTTGAACATTTAATCAACGTCTGTTTGTTGTATTTTTATGGAAAGGATGAAAAAAATTGTACAGTCATAAAAAATATATTAAAGTTCCAGCTGGTCAGGTGACATGCCCATGTCAATTTGTCCACATTGTGCCGTATTGGATATAAGTGGCTCGGTCGAAATCGATAGTTAACATCCATTGATCTGGACTCAATGTTGACATCAAATGTCTTGGCTAACTTAACCCCCACCCTGCTCTATTTATCACGACGTCAAAATGTAACCCTCACATTACCGGCTACTCAATATTCCTCCTCCCCCCCCCCCCCTTAACCTGTATATAATATCGGGTATCTTAGAGCTCTCTTCACTTGATACAGCAATTTTGCTGTGACGGTTTCCACCTGAAGACGGAAGCTTGTGTTGCCTCCGAAACATCGTGATTTAATTGAGTTGTTTTCATTTATTTTATTGATTTTTTTTACCTACGTGACTTTACCGAAAAAACCAAAGAGTATGAATCCTTGCAGTCACGAAAGCTTCAAATCTAGAATTCCAACGTAACCCCACTGAAGCCCAGCCAGCAGCAGTAGAAATCTTGCCGTACACTCCTGATGAGACTCAGAAAGCCAAAAATGAGCCCAGACTTTGCCCGTTCAAACAAATGCAAACATTTAACCAATCCGCACACTATCTGCAAACGATAAGACACCATCAGTTTTAAGCGTGCCTGCAGGCTGGAAACCAATAAAAAGTAAAAACACACGAGTCAAAAGTTCAATGCAGCGTTGGTGGTATAAACTATTTGAACAGCATTTGGCAGCTGAGCTGTAAACGATAATATTAGCAGTGGATGTACAAAATGTTTTATACCTTCCATTATTCGGGAATTTCCCATGTCATATTTTAACAGCTTTACACGTTTCGTTTGTCGTCCTGCCACATCTCCGATTAGCATGGTTGGCTGCCTATAGGGACTCCTCTACTTACGAACGAGTTTGGTTCCAGAGGTATGTTCATAAGTCGATTTGTTCCTAAGTCCAACTTGACTCCTGTCGATTCCAAACATGTTGTACGGCATGGACACTAAACATGGCTTTAAAAGTTGTATAATATCCTGTTGATGTAGATGCCACTGGTTCTTCATGTTCTGTAGATGTAGATGCCACCACCGCTATCTATTGCACGGCAGTTGAACTTACGACTCTCGGTCCGAATTCGCAACTGGACATTCGGAGAGGTTTGTTCGTATCTTTGAAAGGTCGTAAGTCTAATATTTGTAAATAGGAAATTCCCTGTACATGCATAGTGCAGCTGCTTCATGTACACGTTTGGTACATATGCACTGTACCTGCTGCACGTGTGTTTGGTGCAAGGCCGTAGCCATGAAGTCAACATTGGGGGGGACCAAATCTTCCAGGGGGTCTGGAGGTCCCCCCCCAAAAAAATCTTAATTTGAAAACTCATTTCCTACCATTTCCTGCCTAAAATATAAAAAATTCACGAACACATAGGATGGACTTTTTATTTATTTTTACACTAATGTCTAATAGTGTATTGTCTTACATTGCTCTTTTTTTTACTGGTGGTAACCTTCGATTTAAAGCTTTCGGGACTGCAAGGATTCATCTTCTTTGGTTCTTTCGGTAAAGTCACGTAGAATGAGAATAAAATAATAAATTGATAAAATAAAATAACACAATAAAATTCTCACGACGTTTCGGCCACAACAGAAGCGGCCTTCATCAGGTGAAGGGACGAGACTGTCTAGAGGACAGCGCTGGAGCGAAAAAGCCACGCTCAGATCGCGACCTTTAAGCTGTGTGAGAAGAAACAAAGCGCCTTGACAAAGGAATTACCATAGAATTTAGCATTGAAATAGCTGAGTGATTAGCTTGTGACTGGTCACAGAAATGGCTATGTTAAAGTTAAAGCATACACATCCGCAGAGGCACCCCTTGACAAAGGAATTACCATAGAATTTAGCATTGAAATAGCTGAGTGATTAGCTTGTGACTGCTCTACTACTCGGCTTCGCCCGGGACTTGGATCCACCACGCGCAGCCGCCTTTGTCTCCCCAGTGGCGATGTTCACAAACCACAGCAGTTACTCGTTTGAGGCTGAGTCGACCTAGGGGAGGCCCAGGACCGGTTCAAATAATAGTCACCGGTGGTGGCAGCGGGAATCGAACTCGGGTCGCCGGGTTCGTAGCGCAGCGCGCTAACCACTACACTACAATGCGTTACGCTTCCACATGTGCGGGTCACGTGACAGATTTGACGTCACAGCTCACTTGGCGTGCAAAAAATAAATGCATTATTGAGCTCCCCCCCACCCCCCCAAAAAACACGCAAAAGTGTATTTTTTTAATTGTTGCATGGTGTACAGTCTGGAAAGTACCCACATGGCAAATTTCAAGTTTGTTGCATGTCGGGAAAGTACGCTAAACATTTTGAACAGACACACATATTCACAACTATGCCTTTTATATATATTGAGGAATAAGTTCCCTTTCACCACTGCCGTCAATGGCAACACGCGCAGCGGCCACAGGGGTGACGTGAACTCATTATGACAAGTTGAAAAACACCGGATCTTATGCACGCAGCATGCGAATCGATGCATGGTTCCAACTCAACCACAGCACCGGGGATTAAGCTTGCCGCTGTTAATATTGCACGTCGAAGACACTAAAACCGTCACTGGTAGACGACCAGGCCACTGTGCTACGAGTATTATGGCCGGGCACGGTGCACACACACCTGTGATCCAGCGCATTTTTTGGAGGCCAGGCATTGGTGGCTCAGATTCGTTCAGCTCGCAAACCCACTCGGCCGCAAGGTGAACGGGAGGCAGCAGCATAGCAAGTGGCTTCACGATCCATCCGTGCGAATATTTTCTCCGCCGTGGACCAGGTTTCTTTCCAAGCGGTGAGCAGAAGAGTGATTTGAGTCGGAACTGGTCAAACCACCGTAGCCAATGCAGGAGGGCCCTTCTGAGTATGAAATATGCAGACTGAATGAGGCAATCCCTGGATATATGCATTCGTATTATTATAATGCAATGTATTTTTCTCCTCCTCCCATCCAGCTTAAAAGACGCTGCCAAGCTTAGCAGTGTTCATTAGGACGCTGTCTTTCCGACAGCTCTGTTTCTTCACCTGAGGACGGCTGCTTGCGTTGTGGCCGAAACGTCGTGAGAATTTTATTATATTATGTTTTATTTGTATTATTTTATTATTTCCCTTCTACGTGACCTTGCCGAAAGAACCAAGAATATAAATCCCAGCAGTCACCTTTAGCTTTAAATCGAAACTCAATGTATTTTTGTTCACCTTGCTGTCATTTCCCGCACCTTCGATTAACATTATTGCCGATGTACGGTGAAAATAAGTAAAAAAAAAAATACATTATTTAGGTCTGTATTGTAAATTGTAAAAATTACAATACCCATTGATAATTTTTCTTACCCAGATATATTTAGCAAGAGTACTCGTGAATCTCAATGTCACTCATTTCAGTGACGGATGTGAATGGTTATTCTGCACACACTTGTGAAAGAAAACTCAGCCTCAATGATGTTCAATTGTGTTTTTTTCTCTTCTAGGCACCATCGGCTTACCTAGAACGGCAGAAGATGCACCCGAGCGACGCGACTGAGAGCAAACGAATGATTATGAACGACAATGGCAGCGATGAGAACAAGTGCTTGTACAATGAGGACATCCTTTCAAATATAATGCCTCCCGTACTCTTGTTGGAGTTTGTTTTCGGCCTGATGGGCAACCTGTTCACCATCTGGATCACCTGGTGGCACATCAAGGTGTGGAGCGGCTTCACCGTTTACCTCTTCAACCTGGCCCTTGCTGACTTGCTCTTCGTCGTCCAGCTGCCGCTGAGGATCGCCTACCACTTGCGCGTCAACGACTGGATTCTGGGAGAATTTTCGTGCGACCTCATGATAACGCTCTTCTACACCAACATGTACGGCAGCATCTACTTCCTCACCTGCATCAGCGTCGAGAGGTGGCAGGCGATCGACAGGCCCCTGCACTCGCTGGCCCGAAAATCGCCGGGGCGTGCCACGATCATAAGCCTGGCAATGTGGGCTTTGGCTATTATACCTCAGATAGGGATGCCGTTAATCTTTGACCTGATTCACGACAGCAGTAACAAAACCAATTGCCTCAGCTTCAACCAAGAGGGCGTCATGCTAGGCTTCGGAATTTGGAATACAGTGGAAGTGATCATCGGATTCCTCATTCCGTTCATCATCATAATCTTTGTCCAAATAAAAATCACACACAAGCTTCTGTGCCCAAGCATGAACCCCGGACTGGAGCAGATGCGAAAGAGAGCTTCGCGCTTGATGATCATAATCCTCATCATTTTTGCCACCTGCTTCATCCCCATTCACATCTTCCGCATTTTCCTCGTGGTGGCGAAACTTTACCTGCCCGAAAACTGCGGCCTGAACCAGTTGGCCTTCGAGGGCGTCTACTGGAGCCTGCTGCTCTCCAGCTGCAACTGTTTCATGGATCCGCTCATCCTCTTCGTGTCAGGCAACCGCTTTCGCGGGGCGGCCGCGTTCGCGGTGAGCGCGTGCGTGGGGCGGACGTGCGGCGCCGCGAAGAGACGAACCACGTCGTCGACAATAAACATGCACAGCCTCGAGGCTAAGGAAAACGAAAGCGGCAACCAAGGCGTGCCGGGTTGTTGATGGGGCCCTCGGCGGAGGTGGGGATGCTGGCCATGGGCCGTCACGTCTGGGCAACACGGCATACCGAGGGAAGGTGTAAATGTGTCATTAAACCCGCCACCACCCGACACAGTCAAGTGGCAAGGTTTATCACGTAAACAGAACGTACCGATTCGTTACTAGTGCAATCACTACAACTGGCCGTCACCTGATGAAGCTGGTATGTAATTACTGGCGAAAACGTCGTACTCAGAATGCAAATGTTGTGGGTTTGCTTTCCAACACACCGGTTAGTGCTGTACTAGTAACGAATTGGCCACGTTCTGTTTACGTGACAAACCTCATTCAATGGCTGTGTCGGGTGGTGGCGGGTTTAACGACACATTTATATTTACGTGATTTCGCCCAAAAAACCTATACTATGGATGGTATTGGTCGCGAAAGCTTACTACTTGTTAAACTGAGGAAAGGTGGTGGAAGAACCTTGCAGGAATAAAAAGGCGACGATCAGAGGTGGATTCGCGACGAATGACTGGAAGCGAAGACAAAGAGTTATACGTTTGTGTGGCAAACTCGGGTGCAATGGTTATGCACAGCCAACGATAATAGGTGTGACTCTTAAGGGCAAAACTGGTGTAAAGTTATTCGCCTGGCATACGAATACTACTCTCACTATTAATTGTGCTATTTATTGGGGGGCAGGGGGGGGCGTTAGACCCTTAGAATACTACGTATTTTTATTGCGTCATCAAATTTGGTTGATTTACTTGCTGTTCATGATCGCTAGCTCTAGGCTTGGATCACTCCTCAATGTTGACTTGCGCTGCCATCTCAACCCACTGCAAAATGCACAAACAAAATTATCTGCGGATTTTCAGTGCGCCATCTGCGATTCTTTCTGGAACTTTTCACTGAATACGTCGCGTTATAAATCTTGGATTGATTTGGTGAATTGATCCTGGACAAAAAGAATCCCCCGAATAGTGGGGGCAGAGGCTGTAGCAGTTCCACCAGAAACTCTTGGCTGAGACAGCGGCTCTGAAATCTGCTTCTGCATCTTGTTTAGAAATTTGATTCCACCACAGAAGCAACTGAGAAACATTAATCGGAGATCATGGAGTTTTGTGACGAGGCTGAATCTCTACAGAGCTCCGATAAAGTTCTGGAAATATGCCTAGCAGCAGCTGAGGAAACTATATATATAAAAAACTGCAATTGCTGATTGCACCATGTCCAACTTAAACTTTGTCGGCTTCCTGAGGGAGCAGAAGGGAAATAAAATATCTTCTAAAGCAGCAAGGTTCTTCATAAAAAAACATCAACTAGCTCTAACGCTTTCATCTCCCGACAATGCCACGGCTTTGGCTGTCGTCGAAAAACCGATGTTACCAGTCCCCCTTGTGTGCGCCTTCTTATTACAATTTTGAGGGCGAGGCTATGGGTCACGTGATGTGCTCCAAATGGTGTGGAAGGCCAAGGAAGCCAGACTCTCGCTTAAGGACGGCAAGCTCTTTTTGTTGTTCCTCACATTGCTCCTTTGGGCTCGGCTAAGTGGACAGCATTGCAGCCCTTTCACGGATTGCTGCTGAAGGTGGAAGGCGTCATAAAGTCCAGATTAACCTTGAGTCTGCGTTATTGAGAAGCGACACCATTGACTGATCCTCCGCTGTGGTAAAAGCTGTATCAGAGATTGAAGATCTACTGCAGTGCTCTTCGCAGTCAAGAATGTCTCCCCGTTCATTTTGTTTAGCCCCAAACAAAATGACATAGAGGATCAGTCTTCTTGTCCAAGGTGTGACATGCTGGATGATCTTCTAGGCCTTGGTTACATTCAAATCGTCAATCTACTGGATTTACTGCTCGGCCTTGGTTACAGTCACACCGTCAATCTACTGGATTTACTGCATGGTGAGGACAACATTTTCTTCTGATGCGACGTGAGGATGCTGCTAGAGGCCATCACTGTCTTGGCGCCATCTTTACAATCTCCATCTGCTGCATGGCTGCTTACTTGCTTCACTCATATCTTCGGGGCCTTCATTATTTTTTTCTGTCTGAACCTACCATGCTGTGAGAATGGAAGCAAAATCTTCACTCGCCTACTGGAGCAACTCATCCTGTCAGGATCCAGTTACAAGGCTTGGAGCCACTATGGACAGTGTGATTCGCCAATAGACTCACGAAATCCCTCCACGAACATTTGCAGACTCATCACCTTTATCACATGTCATTTAAATGATTTACCTTATCTTCAAATAAACACATTACCATTACCCCTATAACCCATCTCATATGCCTATATGATTCCCCAAGACTTTGGAGTTTATTGGAAACATGTGTGCTCGTTATTTTTGCAGATTAGGAAATATATTATAGAGCCGGAGCAATAAACATCCACAAACAGTTCATGCAAATAAAAACACATCAGAGTAAAAACAAGTGAAAAGATAATCGGGGGAATAAAAATTTAACAAAAGATACAACATATCGATGGCAGACGGGCATGACTAATACGGGGACTAAACAACGAGCCACACACACACACACAATTGAGCGACAGATGGTCAACTGAGAGTCCAAGTGCCAGCAGATTCCGGGGGAAATCCAGATGCTCAATGGGATGCAAAAACACTGGCCTGGGCCAACCATCCTTACACCCCACGCAGCCGCCACACCGCAATTAAACAGTGCCCAGAACCACGAGAGTCTCCCCTCGTCGCGTTGTCATGGTGGCTAGGTCCCCATGAGTCTCCACACTGGGATGTTGTGGCGGGCAGTCAGGTCACCAGGAGAAGTCCCCGTGCTGTGATGTTGTAGTGGTAAAGGCCCTGGACAGATGATAGAGGAAGCAGCTGGGTAGGGTGGATGGGGGGTTGTCAGGAAACTGCTAGGCTGTAAGTAGGGTCGAAAGGTCCAATGCAGAGACAATGATCACCCAATGAATGTATGCATGTGTGTTGAACTTCTTTCACACCGTACCTAGCCGGCCGTGCTAATCGAAGGGGCACAACTAAAAGGGGGAAGGGTAAAATAGTGCCAGATATTTAGCAAAGGCAGCAGAGCGAGAAGTTGAACCAATCGACTACAACTCAACAAGGGCAGATGCAGGAAGGTAGCAAAAGGCAGATGTGCCCTAATAAACGGCCAATTCCACTGATGTATATTTTGACTTAAAGCTTTCGTGACTGCAGGAATTCATATTCTTGGGTCTTTCGGTAAAGTTACGTAGATAGCTTCAAAGAAAATAACAAAAAATGAGAAAAAAACTACGGCATTTCGATCGCAACACAAGTGGTCGTCTTCAGGAAAAGGAAGACGACCACTTTTGTTGCGATCGAAACGTTGTCATTTTTGTTATTTTTTTGTTCTTTTCTTTGGACCTATCTATGTGACTTTACCGAAAAACCCAAGAATATGATGCATGTTTAGCTAAGTGTGATGTGTTTTTTTAGTGTGTTTACCATTTGATGTTGTTTTTGCTGCTTTTATGATTTTATGTTAAGTGTCTTTGAGTATTCAGAAAAGCGCTCACAAATAAGATGTATTATTATTATTTATTATCTTAACTACTTGGTGGGTTTTCCTTATGTCAAAAAAATAATTATACTAGCTTAGCAACATTGGGGACCTGTAAATATTCACATGCGATAGTCAGGGGAATGTTTATACAAGACCCAATTATTAATGTTTATTCCGGTGAGAGTTTGTGTGTAGGTGTTGTGTGCATATTTATTTATTTATTTTCTTTGCCTTTTGGGGGATCATCAGAAGCCTGCTGAATGTTTTTTTGTTTTATTATGTGCAGTGACTCTACTTGTCGAGGAAATGGACGGAGAGACTTAATTTCTCTTTTTATATAATTCTTTTTTTTTAAACACCTGGAAAAAAAACCCCTGAGATAGAACGGCTCATTTGAGGCATTAGTGGAAGGCACTTTAAAAGTACAAGCAAATTATTATTTTACAAGGGCGTCCAGGATGTCGATTGACGCATACAAGGCAAACGCGTAAAAACATAACGTCTACACACGTTTTCAAATGTGTCAGTTCTATTCGACCCACTGGCTAACGTTTGTTTAAAATTTTGCCCCACTTATTTGCAGCCAAACATACTATTGCTTGATACAAGATCCTGCGCATTTAAGCACTTCTCTTCAATCACAGTTTGTGGCCCTACGGCTGGCTTTTGTGTTCACATACAAACCCTTTACTCTCTGTCCCTTGTGGATAAAGATGAGGAATACAATACCTCATCATATTTCCCTGAACCAACAAGTATGGCCTTGGTCCATCTAAATATTAACGACTTTAACCATTTTTTGATTTAAAGCTTTCGTGACTGCAGTAATTCATATTCTTAGTTTTTTCGGTAAAGTCACGTTGAAGAGAAACAACAAAATAACAAAATATATATAAAACAATAAAAAATTCTCACGACGTTTCGACCATAACTCAAACGGTCATCATCAGGTGTGTCGGTTTGCATAAATTTATTTTGAAAACGGCATGTTTATTTATTTATTTATATAAAAATAACGTTTGCGTCACGCGCAACGATGGCAGTTTGCCAGGACTAGTCCATCTATTTTTTGAAAAGAGGAGGGGGGAGACGAAATTTGTTTTTATGTATGCTGTCTGAAAGGCACTGTAAGCGTGAACAATCAATCAAGAACTGAAATGATTTATCAAATCTTTCCAATGATTGCTAAGATAGAATCCATCTTCTCGGTTGAAATTGTCTCTGTGTTTGTATATGTGGATAGCCTCATGAACGAATCTCTCATGGTAAACTACCTTCGCCCCGTATGAATATGCTCGGGGGTAGACATTGCCTTTCTTCCGCAATCTCATTTGACCTTGTTTGAAGCGCAGACGTCGATGTTGTGTTTGGGCCGGGCAGGCTTACTACTACCATCCGTCCCCGTGCCGTTGACGGTCAAGATAGGAATCAATGTTGACCGACAGACGAAGCTGATTCCAGACGTGCTCTATATGATGCTGCTCCTCAACGACGACCATATGTCACGTCATTAATTTCTAGGTTTCCTGCATGGCGTCAATACCACCACGGTAAATATTTTCAAGGCACCCCCCCCCACCCGCACCCCCTCCGTTTTCGCACTGCAATGCTTTAATAAAGCGCTTCTTTTCTCCTCGAACACTCTTCAGACGAACGACGCAT